CATCGATGAAGATAATGCAGTTGTCACTTTTGTATGATGTAATTGCTGAAGAGATGAAAAGAAAAAAAGAAGAAAAGGAAAGGTAAAATAATTTGTAGTGAAAAAAAAGGGTAATAATTAATTGCAAGTTAGTGAAAGATATGAAAGTGAAAGATATCATAGTTTTCATTGATTTTCCCACAATATAATAAAGAAAATGAAGAAAAAGGGGAGAAGAGAAGTGGCAAAGATATTTGGATCAATGGCTCAAAAACAAAATGATTTAAGCGGACGAGAGAAGGTTGCAATAACAGTGGTGGCAAATTGTGGTACACATTCGCGAGATTTTGATTTAATTTATTTATCAACTGTCGGGATTTAATTTATTTATCAGCTTAAGGCTCAATTTCTGCTGGAATTTTACAGAATCGCTTTCTCAAAAGAATTTTTCATTTTCAACTTTCTTTCCGTTTTTTTCTTTTTTTTGAGCTAAAAGAAATACTTATTATATGTATATATGACACTACAAATAGAAAATTAAACATAAAAAATTACTGTGAAAAAAAAAGAAGGATGAAAGGAAGAGGGAAATGTGGATAGATAGATGATAATGTTAGAAATAGTTGCAAAATTTTTAAGAAATTTGAAGAAGAAGAAAGTGAATTGAGTGATGATAAGATTAGTGACAATTTTCAACTCTTTTGTGACATTTTGAACCCTTTTTGTCTATTAGTTTCAGTTGAAAAAAAACTTGAAATTCAACAAATTATACTTTAAAAATATGATTTCTTATAGTAAATATATTGTTGCTTCACTGTTCATTGTATTATAAAATTTCGTATCTAAAATTCGCATAAAATAAAGGGAATTTCGAATGGAATTTGAAAATTACTATTCACATTCCGCTTCAAACTACTTGGAAATCTTTTTATCATTTCTTTATGAATAAATATCAGTAAGTCATATTGCTGATGACTTTCTTTCTTCAAGAAAAATTCTAATCATATCAGGAGATATAATTGATCCCATATAAATACTCTAATAACAACAGAAATTTTTGAAAAAGACGATACTCAATCGTAATTATAATTGTCATTCTTGCAAACAATAGAATGAACATCGAACAAACGTTTTTTTTAATTTTTTTAATGGAAACTGATTTATGCTAATCCAAGGATAGGTTCAGTTAGGAAGTTTAAAAATGGTTAGCAAGATCAAATAACTTGACAATTTGTCAAAAATGAGATATTCTTTGACAAGTTGTCCAATTGTTAGTACCAATGAGATGCAAGATATTTTATTCATTTATTATGCGAAAGGATGAAAAATGGAGTGGTAATTTTCGAGCGACAACTTAAATTATTTCGAATCATATTGTAATTTGAATTGAAATAAGGTAAAAAAATTGCATTAAAGTACGGGTAATTTTATATTTAATTCATTTATTCAATGCAACATATCGTAATTTGGTAGCACACAATTAAATTGGAACAACAAAATTTACATCTTCCACTAATTCAAAGATTTCGAAATTTAATATGTACGACTTTTTTGGCGACATCGATCAAAAAGATTTGGCGAAGAGAAAAAGAATAGTGAGGGTGGATATATGTGCCTTCATAAAAACTTTCGCGAAAAACGAATATTAATAACAATATAAAGAAATGAGAGCATAAATGACCAATTAATTATTACTTTTATTAGTCATTTATTTCCGCATTTTTCATAAATAATCGATAGCGAATAATTAATAAAACTTATGAATAAATTTCGAAAAATTCATTTTGAAATACGTTAATACTTTAATTTTTATCTTAGCGCCATATTTTTTTACTTTATATCAATTTTGTTACAAATCATTTAATTGATATAAAATTTCTTGCCTCATTACATCGATTTTGCACTCGGATAATTTGCAGACTTCTTTTATGCTTTTATTTTCATCACCATGAGATGATTGAAACTAATTGAAAGAATGTTTATATATATATATATATATATATATATATATATATATATATATATATATATATATATATATTATTATTATTATTATTA